ACTACCAAAAAAAAAATATTTAAAAAAAAAAAAAAAACAAATATTAAAAAGGGTTTTTTTATGTTGTTTTTTATAAAAAATTTGGAGTGGGTAAAAATTGCCTTTTTTTTAATAAAAAGTGTTTTTTTGGCCCGTTTTTTGAAAAATTTTTTTATACGCGGGTTTTTTTTTGCGAAAAAAAAAAAAAAAAAAACCCCCCCCCCCCCCCAATGCAAATAAACGCTTTCGAAACTTTTCAATTAACTGCGTCATTACAGCAATAAAAAAACTAGTTAAATAATTACACATATCTCGAACGTTGTTCCCTGCCCAGAGGCATTATCAGTTGTGGGGTTAAGTTTAATAACTCAGTAGTTATCTTCCAGTTATTGTATTCGGATAACCTTGCATTCCTTTTAAGACAAAAATTACGTAATGTGTGACCGTATTTTTGCCCCTTTTTGTTCTCCGATTGTTCACTCAAATTGGATTTTAGAAAGAGGAAAATTAAACAACAGTTATGTGCAATACTTCAAGTTACACTTTGTTCAAATAAATTACAGTATGCCTGACTGGAGGCTTATAGAAGCCATGTCATTAAAGTCAACACCCAAGACAGCATTCTCTAAGTGGTGTAATAACTTTCAATATCTTTTATTGACAATTGTTAAGCGTACATTTATTTACCCATGAATTGCACCCGTTTTTGCTAAACCTCTCTTATGAATTCCAAATAGGGTTAGGTTACTCCTACGTCTTCCTTTTTTGATCGTCGAAGACGTCTATATAGTCTGTATTCTTATAACGTACGTATGTACATACACACTTAATTGCATACTGCTTTAAGTACTCTAATAAATTGCGATATGTGTCTTTTATGGACGTTTCCTAGAACGTAGTTCACACTTGAATATCAAGTAAAAAATAGACGGAGACGATTTTCATGGGCAAGCCCCACAAGGTAATTTTGAGAATATCGTTGTTAACCTATGCAAAAAGTCCATACTTATTTGATGACCTTAACAATTAACTTATGACAACTGCATTAAATTTGCATTAGTCGTTATAAACATATTAGATGTTGTTCTACTCTGAAGCTAAGCTATGAGGCAAAGTTTCTCCCTCAGTTCTTCAAATGTTGTGTTTGATATTTCTAATTATAGGGTCCGTTCTTGTCCGGCTCAGAAAGACAATGGGGCACATTCTGTAAAAAAAAAAGAAAGAAATTAAAGTTTTCTGTCATTTAATCAATCATAGTTGTCGTAGACAATTAAACCATTGAACATCCGACAACGATAGAAGTGTTCTTCTGCTAGATTAGTTGGTTTTTCCAACCACCAAAATTAGATTAGAAATTTTGATTGATTGACAAAACGATTTTGATTGATTTTTCGTCTTTTTACAGCGTAAATCGGTGAGACACGCACGACCGCATTCTCAAAGAAGACGAAGACAAATATTTGTGGCAGCAAAAGAGCAGTCCGTTAACTAGAATGCACCGGTCCTCAACGAAATTCCATTCATCAGATAGAAAGAACTAGATTGAACAACTGAAGAACTATGGGATTCTTTCATTTATCGCGGTAGTACACCATGAACAATTATGAGTTTTACGTACAGCAAGAAGCACCCCGTAGGCAGCGCACTGTGGAAACGATAAATAAAATTGTTTATGATTTTGGGAAATTCTTCAGCGTCATTGCTCCTGAGATCGGTAACTTTTTTTCATTTCGGGGTGATTGGGAAGTACAGCAAGAAGCACCCCGTAGGCAGCGCACTGTGGAAACGATAAATAAAATTGTTTATGATTTTGGGAAATTCTTCAGCGTCATTGCTCCTGAGATCGGTAACTTTTTTTCATTTCGGGGTGATTGGGAAGAGAAATTCACAAGGCCAGTTTGCAGTAAAATATTTAAACATTGTTTTTCCTAACGAGTTATGATATGAGCCATTACTTCCTAAGCCGGCATCCGAGGGTTTACATCAAGATTACAAAGCAGTTGAAGCAAGCAAAAGACTTTCTTTGACAAAAGTTTGTCGCCCCTTCATTTACGGCCGATCCTACTCATGAACCATTGGCACTTCAGTTCCTTGTCTATCGTAGTTCCCTTTAACTCGACATTTATCCTAAAAAAAAAAACCTCACCTTCAAAATTAAAAAGTGGACTGCCCTCTAAACTGTCAAGACTATCAAGAGACGAGCCATCAAGAGAGTCCACATCAACCCTTTCCAGCTCAGCTTGCCATCTATCAGCGGTTTCCAGCATTTTTGTCAGCTCTGTGATGTAGTCAACTGCCAGCCAAATCACTTCGGTCTTGGAAGGTTCCCTATCTTGGGGCGGAAGAGGGATCATATGTCGTAGTATTTGGATGTTCATGTTTAAGATTTCCACTCGTCGCCTTTCTCTAGCATTAGCTACTCGCCTCTGCTTGCTTACGCCCGTGAGTCGCGGTCCTCGTCGCCGAGGTTTCTTCTTGGGCTGGGCTACTGCTTTGCCAACGGGTGCAACGTCCATTTCGGACCTGAGCTGGGTTAAATCTGTGTTTATCGAAAGCTACAGCAGCATATCAACACATCTACACGGGATAAAAGATTTGGACACACGTGGATACGCTGATACGGGTCTTTTGACTCAATACAAAGCAATAAACTCGGTGTTAAAACAAAAGCCTCCTGTGGCTATTAGACCTTGTTTCCGACTGTTTCGAGCTGTAATTTTTCTGGAGCGATTCACGAAATTTAATTGCAGTAAGCTTTGGATTCTTTTGGATTAAAAAAAAGTTTCAATTCTTTTTAATTTCAGCTTGCAAGAGGTGATAATCAATCAGATCACACCTTGCGGCTGAGGGGACTCGTTAACACTTTAATTCTGATAGTCTCAGGAGATAGATTAAGGATTTTTTCTAAACTACTGTGCACCTTTCGTAAGCGAATGTAAGGGTCAAAATTGGCATTCATAAGTGTGTATTACCCACCCGCATTTTCGATACAGTTTGCGGCGACTTGGTATTATAAACTAATTACTAAACTAACACGATGGGTGTCCATACCCACTAAGCGTGAAGATGCGGCTTCGATCAGTACAAATGTACAGCGTGCGATTGACAGGCTATTGGTCTTGTGTCACCAACCACCGTGATATAAGATAACCAACGAAAACGTGACTAAGAGTTTTAAAAGTACTAAAACAAACGTTTTCTAACCCGTCGGTGTAAGAACGTGTTCTGAGGAGCGTTAATTAATTTATTGTTAAGTAAAACCAATAATTAAGGCACTGACGACGGCTAATATCGATCATCCTGTTACAAGAAACAATGTCAACTTTAAATAATAAATTGTGTTGTGACCATGACTTTGTCTACCACATATTTCAAGGCAACTATATTTAGCTGCGGACTTTTTAAAAATTTCTTCTGGTACTCGATTCGGGTGCCACGGCTATTGACACAGGGTAATTGTCTCTAAGAAGAAAACGTTATCTTGTTAATAAGATAAGCGTTTACATAATGCTTAAGTAAACAAAAAAAGTCACGACATTAACAAAGATAAGAAGTACGGATAGCCAAGTGGATTTTGTATTCAGCTTTTGACTAAATCATCTTAACATGCCTGGTCCCATGTAGCAAACAAGCGAAACTATGGGTATGACACGGCCACGGTTCGCGATTGTTTATAATTTTAAAAAAATAAATTGTAAAAAATAGATCAATATAACACAGCGTGAGATGATATAACCACTTGGTAAAATGAATGTAGCATTCTTTGCTTGTTTAAAATGAAACCCAAAAGTAGCCACGAAAAACTCACCATAAGCATATTTTAAGAAAAAGACTGCATTAATCCTAAATATTCTTCGGTAAATCAACCTTATATTCAAACCAATCGTGGACAAAAACTGAATGCATAACATTTTAAACTCAAACAGGTGTCTTTACTTCTCAATTCTTCTTTTTATAGAAATAAATGTTACTCTGTATGACTTTGAAAAGAACTCAATCACCGTGCAATTGTTTGTTATTTAGGGGGCAATTTTTTGGCCTGTTCACGTCGTTTGACTAATGCTCAAACAAAACTCTACGCAGTACAAAAGCACTGCTGAAAAGATCTTAGCCTCAGTGCATTCGCACCGAGGAGAAATTTATTTAGTGATCGTGCGACCCCTTGATTTTCTGAGTCTAAAGACCGCTACTTCAGACCAAATTGCCGGATAGTCAACCGAGTGAAATATGTTACCAACAAAATTTTGGGGTTAAGAATGCATGTGTGATAATTGTCCCCAAATAATCCTTCATAGAGACAGCCTCTCAATACCTCTTCTCCTCCGTTTTTCCGTGTAGTAAACTAAACTAGAACAAAGAGAGATATAGAGAGAATAGCTCATTTTCACTTGCTTAGAACTATAAGGCCCGGGGGGGGGGAGGGGGTACTCCCTTATGTAAGCCATTTAGGTATGTGCCGCCCTGAAGGGTAGGGTTCTCGCGCCGTTTTGGTCTGAAAAAGGGTATAGACTTTGCTCATTTTGGTCTGGAACCGGGTATGGATTTCGAGGGAACTACGGGAGTGTATGAACGTTTTTATTGTTTCAATTCCAAATGAGTAAGAAAGAAAGAGAAATGTGCGAATTCGAAGTGGATTTTCAGAAATTTTTTTGTTGCTGTTCTAATCTAAGTAATGATGACAATTTCTCAGAGGCCAGGTCTGAAAACGGGTATGGATTCTAAAGGCCAGTTTTGAGAACGGGTGTGAGAAATGACATTTGGTCTGAAATAGGGTCAGGATTTGGAGAACGGGGGGGCACACCCCTAACAAGAAATTCCCTGGAGAACCCCCCGGGCTATAAGGCTACACTCGCTTATAGAACAAAATCACTGCCGTTGGTGCAGAACGGCGATCAAAAGATGGCAATTCAATTAATTTCAATTGTTCAGTTCTCGGTTAAATTAATTCAATTCAATTACTTTTTTTCTTGACCCGTCCTTAATAATGCGTGCGTAGATACTCGCATAGTAACTAAAGCAAGACAAGACCATCGTTAGCAGACTTTCAAGGAGAAAAACGCTCCTGTTAGATTTCAAACTTGTTGAATCCTGGTGACAGACAGACAGACAGATCCTTTATTCACAGGTCTTCAAGATAATATATACAGTGGCTTTCAATTAAGGTTATTGGTAAGGCCACGTGACGAGGCGGTGGTAATTTCAGTGGTAATTTCATTTAAGGTAGCTGAACACAGTTTTGGCCGTTTGTGAGTACGTCATTTGCCAAATCATGGCAAGAGAAAGGTTGCAGCTCAAAAGCTGAAACTTGGCAAGTGAAAAACATACTGATGAAAGATTTTGATTGACAGCTAAAATTTGACGTTTTTGAAGTTTCCATGGCAACAAGAAAGATTGAATACAACCATACAATTTCACTTTTACTCAGTTTACATAAAATTCGCTCATTAGATTTTCCTATAAACTTGCACACAGCTCACTATAATTAATAATTACCATTTGAAACTTATTTGACCAAATCTTAACCGACGGGTTTTTATAATTGCACTGTAATTATTACATGTGTCACAAAATTGGCCTGTTCAACTTCCATTTTAAAGTTCTCATGGTTTAAAATACGATAAAAATAAAAATCCTGCCAAATATCACAAAATTGTAATGAGTAAATTTTGAGAAATCGTCTTCTGCGTACCATTGCTTTTTCGCCGACATGATTACCGTAAGACAGTTCTTTATGTTTACGGTTAGCAAACGTACCAGAATGTTTGTACTGTAGGTGAGAAGTAAAGTGTTCTTCATTCAATCTAAAAAATGGGTCAATTCGTAAAAATAGAAAGTGACTAAGCTGGGATTGCGAAAATTACATATTTGCCCAAAATTGACTAAGATGGGGGTCTATAATTGGCCACAGAACAGACTATAATGGGATAGGGGCTCTGAGAGGCCAGCGGCACATACACAGCAAAAATTAACCCAAGTAACCCCCCCCCCCCCCCCCCCCCCCCCCCCCCCCCCCCCAATTTTTTAAAATTTTTTTTTTTTTTTTTTTAATTATTCCCCCCGCGCATGTTCGCTCAAAGAATTTTTTTATAAACAACACCCCCCACAAAAAAACGACCACCGGTGCGGCGGGGTTTTTTTTGTCTTTTTTTTTAAGTAAGGTTGTGTTGCGAAAATTAAAAATTTTCCCAAAATTGACTAAGATGGGGGTCAAAAAATTGCCCCAAAAAAGACTATAAAGGGATAGGGGCCCTAAGAGGCCAGCCGCACACACCACACAAAAAATAACCCAAATAACCCCCCCCCCCCCGTCCCCCTCCGGGCTATTACCTAATGTTGCAAATTGCTTCTTTTTTTTCTTAAAAGTACTCGCCGCGAGATTCGTCGCTAAAAGCATTTATTGACAGCTAACATCGCCGATAAAACAACCGGGCCTGGTTGTGGCAGTTTTGTTTACTCGATGCTTTGTTGCTAATCAATGAGAACACCAAACCGGTATGCGGTAGAAAGAGGGGAATATCGTATGGCCAAAGTAAGATCACACTTCGAGGGTCTGAATGGGGTTAACCGACCAGCGACAAACGGCGAAAAATATAACTGACTACCGACAAAACGAGAAATAAATTACCGACTACCGACAGGAAAAATATTAACCAACGGACATGGCTTAAGCAAAGCAGGAATTACATTAGGTTCCATTGTAATCAAATGATTAATCTACGCGGAATGAACAACTGTTACCCTTGTATAGAGTTTAAACTGTGTGAATTAATTAACGAACATTTATTATTAACTTGTTTTTTAATCATTAACCTAGATTTACCGACAATTGACAAAGGTCAAAAGTTTTAACCGACAACCGACATGTGGACCCCCCATTCAGACCCTCCACTTCGTTTACCAATCCTCATGGAAGCCACGTGTGATTTATTCCGACAAAATTATAAACTTCGCATGCTCGAGGGCTATCGGCTCTCGCTTTACTAGGAAACATTATTATGGCTTCTTCTCTCTTATGGCTGTAGAGATGAGGCTAGCTGGATGAAAAAATGAACAGTAGTTTCTTACAACCAATCAAAATTAAGATAGTGATTTAAGTGCATGATAATGCAATTATTGGATAGGGACAAGAGAACACTCCCTGAATAAAATTATGTTATTTGTTGTTGTTTGTAGACTGAATAATACTGTGCATGTTGTTGTTGTTAATTATTGTTGAAATAATACGTTTTTTAAAAACCTGGATAGAGGTTAACCTTACAAACCAGTTTTTCAACTGTAATTGCAGTTTTGAACACCGTTACGGAAAGAATTTCTCCACCAACTCCTGACAAAAGCAGCGACCCTGACGACTTCTATCATGGGCACCCAACGTCAATTTTCGGAAAATATCTGTTTGGAAGACGATTTGAGATCTAGAATTTTCGGAACATTTGTTGTAAATTTTCTTGATTGCCTGCCTCTCTTAGGATTTTCGAACGTCTAAAAAATGGCATAATTGACCATTTTTAACGGATTTTTACCCTAAAAAGGTCACCTAGAATTTTCGGGAGCCTTTTTTGTGGCTGAAATTTTCGAAAGGGTAAAGTTTGATCCCTATAATTTTCGGATCAATAGACTTT